TTTTAATTTTGCACCTATTAGCTGGCTGATCGGTTTCGAGACTGATTATCAGTCTGTTCAAAATGTACTGAAGCGAATGCTTGACTTTGGCAGAAAATGTTACCTTATCATGTCTCGAAGCCATCCGCTTCCTGATAATTTCGAAACAAAAATAGGCTACTTATTACAAAATAAGTAGTATGGTGGGTTCAACAGTCAGAATTCCTTCAAAAATGGTCTTAAATTTCTGGTCCTCATGCAAGCAGATGGTCAGCTCGTTATTGACACAATAAAAGCGAGGTTGTGATTGAACAATGAACGGAAGGATTGCCCGAACTCCTCACACTTCTTGCACGAGGGCAGAGTCGACTCCGCCGGAAGAAGCGCAACCACCGTTGCCTGACCTTGAAGGCCATTATTGCCCTTCTGTTGAAGGTCGGGTAGCACTTCTGCCCCTGTTCCGGGTCTTGCGGGGGGTGGTGACTCGGTGGGAATTGCATCTCGTCTTGGTACAGTTGGGAATAGAAAATGTGGTGAGATTGATTGGCAAAATCACGCCTTTGTCCGGCTTCTCGGTAGGCAACGAAACTGCCAGGCCCTACAGCTCCCAGTGACTAATGACGTACCCTTAACCGAACGTCCAAGTAATTTGTGCACCAGTTAAAAGGGCAGACATGAACTGGCATAAACTAAAGACCAGAAACGGAAGGCTAGTGTACTTGCTGACACCAAGTAAATGGGAAATTGACGAAACTAACGGAGTCTTCCCAATGAAATGCCCAACCTTGAAACAGTATTGCTTGTGGGAGATTGGGATCAGACTAGGCAAGAGAAGACAGACTTACAAAAGTGCCCTTGACCGCAATTGTTTTCGAAGTAGTATGTTTACATTTCTGCCTGCATTTGTATGCTTATGCGTTATGCAATGTCAAATGAGTATGGAAATAAATCAGGACCAACCAAATTTCCCAAATGGGCAAATGGAACAGGCGGCCACGAACTTTAGTCCCAGTCAAATAGCGGCCAACGAAAGCGTGTTCAATTGTGGAGGGAGGTGTATATGACGTCCTCAGAAGTGATGACATGGATCCTTTTGTAAGTATGCTTTATGCACTAAGTTCATGAAATTGGATCCCGCATCGTTACATTTCGTAGACATTTAGATCAGGACAGATATCAGAGGCCATATATGCAGCGTATACTTCGTGAAACCTCCGTTTTGGCTTATGGGGAAAGATCAAGTAGGCGAACATTTGCAGGTCTCGGATCAAGAGAGAATCAGGCCAAAACTCTTGTTTTTCTTGACTGATATGATAAATGGCAGTCCTATGCCTCCATCCATTTTTGCCTTTTACTAATTAAGATAAAGAAATGCATCCACTCGAACTGGGTTTATGGCGGAATTTTCCATTTTCACTGCACACAATAGACTGACATAGTGAGACTATTATTCTTAGGAATAGCGCAATTGCCCAACTAAAATATGTGAAACTATCTCACAATTGGGATGTGAAATAAAATGAAAGCAACCAAGCCTATACATAAATTAAATTGCCACATGCATAGGGATTTTAAAGTCAAGAGGACTCATATAAGATAATTTTTATAAAAATATAAAATTGCTGGTTATTCGTTTTTTTCTATTGCCATCATATTATAGAGAATCCTAATTTAATATGAACAAAATGTTTATGATAATTTTCACCAAGAACGAATTCAAAATTCAAGCTTTACCTAGTGACCTTCACAAAAACCTGTTTATTTTGACCTCGTAGACTAGATGCACTGGCAATTTTCAGGAATACTGAACGCTCGTTCAGATATTTTGTTTAATGCTCTTTCATCTGAAACATTTAAGCATTGAACTTAATGGGTCAAGGTTTTTATGACCTAGAAATATCATTTTAAGGTTATTGCCGATCTGAGATATATCGTCCTTTGTGCAAATGACTAGGTCATCTGCAAGGATCAAGCCTGACTTAGTGAGAAAGACTTATAAATGTAGTTTCTTCAAAGAATAGACAATTCACAGTAAGCTTTTAATCAAGATAAAATATACTTTAAGAAATTCATCCTTCTACTATTGCAATATATATATATATATATAATAATCAAATAAAATAAATTAAAAATGTATATATGTACTTATTTAATTATATATTTATCTAAATACACTTATAATACTTATCTATTTATTTATATGCTTCTGCATTCCTGCATTTTTATACCTTTATATTCTATATTCATATATTTATGTACTTGTCTAATTTATTATGTATTTATATATTTATATTGATATATTAATTTAGTTACTCATTCATATATTCAAATAAAATACTTATATATTTGTGCATGAATATATAAATATATAAGGATAATTTTAGGGACTTGCCACTATAATAAAATTGATATTTTTAGTTTTTATAAGTAAGGTTTAAAGGCTCCCAGTAAATTAGTTATATGAGATGTATTCACACCATTTCGTTTAAGTTAATGAAGAACTAGTATTTTAATTTTTCCTCAATCGTGTGAGTAGACCTGACACTTCCATTGAATTTCAAATATCCTTGTTTTCCTAAGAGGTTTTCTCATCCCAACTGGAGTGGACTGCAATTTCGACCTCGACTAGGTTTTATTACAGGAATATCATAGTTCGAGTCTCGCTGGGGTGTTGATAAGACCTAGGCAGTTTGGATGAAAGCACGTCTTGGAAAAGCAAGGCTATGTAAAATTCGATGGAAGCGTCAGCTTTACTTAAATGATTGTGGGAAAATTCAACTATCAATCCTCCATCATCTTAAACGAAATAGTGAGAATGCATCTCATAATATAATAAAATGCACGCAAAATGCCATAGTACCATAGCCATCAGGGGTATAAAAAATATGAATAATGGTTGTTTTTTAATTTTATTTGTGTCTTCATGTGATCTTATGTGGCGACGGCAACACTAGAGATGATGCATGTCAAGCACAAAGAATGATAAAGATCAAGTAACCGTGAAAAAAGGTCTCGTAAGTGATGTACAATATGTGTAGTTGTGAACTGAAACCTGTGAATTTCTACTCGAAGCAGAAGAAAGTTGCTCTGAAACCTGTTGGCTATTGGCCGGAATGGAATATTTTCTCGAGACCTCTACGATTCTGACCATCAAATCATTTCTGTCGGCCAATTCATCTGATGGAGGCACAACTAAACTTGCGGCAGAGAACCATTACGCGGGAATAAGGGCAATGTACAGAGGAAGAAGTTACCGCTCATGGGATGAGTTATGACAAATCGGCTCCAGAAGTCCATCATTTTTGTCTTGAAGGCGTTGTGTTTGCAACTGCTAATCTACTCAATGATACAATAGAATTAATATCCATGACATTTTAATATGATGTCTGAGCCTCTGTCATGCACAGTTGACGCAGGCAAGCAAACTGGCACAGCTTGTACGTACATTCAGTCTAAAATCCAGTTTCAAAAGCATCCCCAAAAGGGGTTATAGGGTTAAAAATCGACATTCTACCGAAGGTGTTGAAGGAAACGCTCTATGTGAATAACTGCAGCATGTGAATGGTAACACGTCGAAAATATAGAGTGCCCTACTCGGATCCGATTCCTGTTGAGAGTGGCGATAAGGCCCAGAAGAGGTCGAAAATGCAGCTTGATGTGGATGAAAATACCTTTTGGGAGGCAAGACTAAATGACAATTATTAGCATCGTGAGGGTGTATAATTTTACGCACTCATTATTCAAGATATACCTATTTAATATGAATATATCCATAACGCTATTGGGCCTCGCCATGATGTCTAATTCCGTAACTAGGCTTGACCACGCGGTTTAGGAAAAAGCCTCTTTGTGAAAAATACTTTGCAAATATGCAAGAAATTTGTAATCCTTAGCAAAGGCTTTATATCTACCGTAAATTACCTTCAAAGCTCGTGAAATGGACCCATCTTTTTAAGAGCAGCATTACTTTAAACCAGTTGTTTATCAATGCGATGGTGCGAGCGATGTTGAAAGAATTGTGTAATTAACTTCTCAGAATTTTACACTGTCATTTGGGATCACACACTTTTGCCTTCTTTCTCACGCTCTTACCGAGAAATCGGCCAATTGCACAAGAGGCCTACTGCTCCCTCATTTGGCTATCTTTAAGCTAAGAATAGGTGGTTTCTGACGAATAAGTTGATATTTCATTTCATTTCATGTGAAAGTTTGTGTGATGATAAGATTTGTAGGTCAATCTAACTATAATATGTAGAAGGATCCCTCCTGACCAGTCCTCGAGACAGCAGATATTTGAATGTGAATGTGTGTGCTTGTGCATGGCTTTTCATAGTAGTTGTGACCAAGCGACGCATCTGCTATAAGCTATCAAGTTCGTATCATCTTTTGTATGTGAATGAGATATATGAAATATGTGCACCCTATTTTGTTTGAGGTGTTGAAGGATTGGATTTATATTTTCCTGCAATTATATGAGTACAGCTGATGTTTGCTTCATCAACAATCTCGACGCAGAATGTGATATGGGAAATGTCTGACATTCCTTAAAATTCACATCTGCCCTGTAACATAATCACACTCGTAGAGATGTAGCGTAGTAGTTAACGTGTCGAGCTTACACGCTGCACTGTCATGGTTCGACTCCCGCTTGGGGGGTTGATTAGGTTTATGCGAGGTCGAAACTGGATGGAAACACCTTTTGGGAAAGCAAGGCTATGTGAAATTCAATGGAAATCATCAATACTCTTATATGATTGTGGCAAAATTTAACTACCAATCCTTCAACACATCAACGAAATGGGGTGCAAACATCTCATATAGCTCATTCACATACAAAAGATGATACAAACTTGATAGGTTATGACTACTAGGAAAAGTCATGCAAGAGCACACACATACACATTCAAATATCTGCTGTCTCGAGGACTGGCCAGGAAGGATCCTTCTACATATTCTAGTTAGATTGACCTACAAATCTTATCATCACACAAACTTTCACATGAAATGAAATGATATATCAACGTATTCGTCAGAAACCACCTATTCTTAACTTAAAGATAGCCAAATGAGGGAGCAGTGGGTCTCTTGTACAATTGGCCAATTTCTCGCTAACAGCGTGCAAAGGAAGGCAAAAGATTTAGTACCAAAAAAAAGTGTGAAATTCTGAGAAGTGAATTACACAATTCTTTCCACATCGCTCATACCATCGCATTGACAAACAACTGGTTTAAAGTGATGCTGCTCTTATAAAGATGGGTCCATTTCACGAGCTTTGAAGGTGATTTAGGTAAATATAAAGACTTTGCGAAGGATTAAAAATTTCTTGCACATTTGCAAAGTATTTTTCACAAAGAGGCTTTTCCTAAACCGCGTAGTCAAGCCTAGTTACGTAATTAGACATCTTGGCGAGGCCGAATATCGTTATGGATATATTCATGTTTAATTGTTATTTTATCTCCTTAAACGGAATATGGTAAAAGTCCCTCAGTCCCATCACTATCTTTGCAGAAATGAATTAAGCACAACTAATCAACGCTTTACTTCCTACACTCATAACCAAAATTCAGCGAATCGCCTAATCTGTTGATATCGAGGAACAATATTTGTGATGGTC